CGCTATATCTCCGATGTTCGTACTTTTCCATCTGTCTACTCATACCTGTCTCATGGTCGTAGCTGTTCTAGACTGCCACATGACGCCGGACTCGAAGAAAAGCAAAGAGACGGGCATCAAAAAGTGTTGAGACGTGTCTATTGGTCTCATTATTGAGCACACCCGAGATTGGCGCGGGGTTAGAAGAGTTCTAGACCTGAAAATCTCACCGTTGACAGTCGATATGTCAGGTCATCTATTCATGCTTAATCGGTGTAAGGATTCGATCTGTTCTCAGGTCATGGGACACTGGCGAGAGAGCAGCCGAGCCATTGACTTTCGGGGTTCCAGGGGCAGAAATAGACGAGACAATAGGAAGAGTCGGTACCCGATGAAGGATCGGTGCAGTTACTGTTTGGGGTATGCGTGTGCATTGTCGCAGTCAGTAAGTATCAGCATCCCACCTACAGTGCAGTAGTGCAGTAGACAGCTGTTGTGGAGAAGCGGTGTGCGATAGGTATCCTTGTGGACGTACGGAGTACAGGTAGGTAGGTAGTCTAGATCCTGGTTGTGCATGCGGAGGTACTGGTGTCTGTCAGTATTTGTTTACTTTGTTCTTGGAGGTTGACTCGTGGATAGTGGCCGGTGAATCATACCGCTATATTATTATTGTTGTTTGCTTTCTATCTACTTTCTATCTAGTCAGGAACAACAATATGCTCTCTGACAGCGACAACCAACCTGTTTGCCTATGACGAGGTCATAGCGGGGCCAAAACGGGGACATTCTAGGAGAGTCTGTGGGGGAGGAACGTCATTGCGCCGTCGAGGAATTGATTTCCACTGTTTGCGCTTTGGGAAGAAGGTGTGAGGGTTAGTGTCTATGGATTCCAAGGGTCAAGGGCCAATATGGAGCTACGGTATACTCCCCAGGTGAAGTCATTTTATCCACTTGTTTCCTGTGTGCCTGATGTTTTGTGAAGGTTTGCTTTGATAGAGTCCAGATGGAGATATCGTATTGGGAATACCGATGGCGCGTAAGGTAATTTGAGTATGGTCCACTGGGCCATGGTACACCGTACACGTCGGTGACCGTCTGGTATCAATTGATCGACTTTCGATCTTGACGCACAAAGTCAATTGATATCGCAGACAGAAATTGAATTGATCAACGCGAAAATAAAGCTTACCCCCCGCGTGAATAATTAGACCTAGAAGGCGAAAACATCACCTTTTTGCCAGTAGCTTCGGGGAATCGGGACGGGGCTGGGAGGCACAAGGACATCACCTGACAGTGGAACTCTGGGCTGTTCTGTTTGTGGTACGGAGTAGACCCACTGCGATGGAGCGTAGTGTCCCGAGTCTAAGTTGGACCAGCTTCCGTCGATGGCTGATTCCGATACAGTTCGTGCTTGACCTGCCCTGGTTAAGTAGATGAATGAATGGAGGAAAAGATGGACAGTCTGACTTCATTGGCACCCCCTCAGTTCCCCTCCTTCACTGTTTGGGATTTGGATCCCTTGAAATAATAAGTAGGCTTGTCTTTCCTCCTCTTGTCGTCTCTTTTCTTCCTCATCTTCTCTCCAACTTCCTCTTCTTCATCTTCATCCTCTTCGTTTTCTTTCCTGCTTCCCTTATCTTCCTTTCTCGGTAAGTTCAACTTGCTTCGTTTGTCCTCTTCGTCGAGCCTTGCCTTGAGTATCTGATATTGACTGCCGGGGTTATAGATCGCAAGGCTTCATTCACAATGGGTTCCAATCTTCCTCAGACCATGAAGGCTCTCAGATATGAGAAGCCTGAGGTCCACAGCGTTGTCCAGGTCCCTCTGCCCACTCTCCGTGAGAACGACGTCTTGGTATGTTGTCGACCCAATAAATATTCTGCATACCACAGAATCGGATGGCTGACCAATAATGCATGTATAGATCAAGGTGAAGGCTTGCGGTGTCTGCGGTACCGATTTGCACATCCACGAGGGTGAATTCATTGCCAAGTTCCCCCTGGTTCCTGGTATGCCTGATGCTCCCTCGACAATCGCCGTGGTTCTCAAACAGTAGACTAACCGCTACAGGCCATGAAACCGTTGGCGTTGTCGCTGCTGTCGGTTCCAAGGTCAAGGGCTTCGAGGTTGGTGAGCGTGTTGTTGCCGATAACTCTGAACTCTGTGGCGAGTGCTTCTACTGCCGTCGCGGTGATGAGCTGTTTTGCGAGCACTTTGAGGCTCATGGTGTCACTATGAACGGTGGTTTTGCCGAGTACTGTGCCTACCCTGGTACGTTGTATAGCCTCGACCCAACCACAGCACCTTGCAACTAACCATACCGGACTGTAGCCAAGAGAGTCTTCAAGATCAAGAACCTCTCCGATGTCGACGCCACTCTCCTCGAGCCTGCTTCCTGCGCCGCCCACGGTCTGGACAAGATTGCTCCCAAGATGGGCTCTTCTGTTCTGCTGTTCGGTGCTGGTCCCACTGGTCTGGTATGTGGTTTCAGGTCCGGTAGCTCTGTGACATGACTGGAAACTGACTGTGCGTAGATCCTTGCTCAGATGCTCCGTCTGAACGGTGGATGCAAGGTTACCGTCGTTGCTCCTGAGGGTCTCAAGATGGAACTGGCCAAGAACCTCGGTGCCGGTGACGAATACGTCGCCCTCTCCCGCAAGGACCCCTCCGCTCAGTTCGAGAAGCTCAAGTCGGAGAACCCCTACGGCTTTGACATCGTTGTCGAGGCCACTGGTAACCTCAACATCCTCAACGATTCCATCAACTATGTCCGCCGCGGCGGTAAGCTCGTCGTGTACGGTGTGTACGCCAACAAGGACCGTGTCTCGTGGCCCCCTGCCAAGATCTGTAAGTTTTTCTTCTCCTTGTTTCCACCGAGTGTTTGCTCACAAACACGTTAGTCGGTGACGAGATCAACATTGTCGGCAGTTTCTCCGAGGTGTACAAGTTCCCTGCTGCCATCGACTACCTTGACACGGGCAAGGTCAAGGTCAACGGCATCGTGAACAAGGTCTTCAAGATCGAAGAGTGGGAGCAGTGCTTGGAGTCGATGAGAAACAAGTCCGCCATCAAGGCCGCCATTGTCTTCGACTAGAGGGTTGATTGGATAGACTTGGGTTGGGGTCAGACAAAATTCTGCGTTGGATTACAACTGAGTTTTGAACATACTTCATGTAATGATTTATGACATATGCGATGATATTATTCCTTGAATAATAGAAAGAGGATTATCTCCAGTACTTGCAAAGCCCTGGCCCAGGCTCATGGGAGGGCCGGCGTGGTTATACCTATAGGCGAGCGAGGACCTTGGGGAGTGGTGACTTGTTGGGGCCATCAGTCCCCAAGGCAGCAGTGACGTATCTCCGGATTGGCCTACCACTACTTCATGCAACAATACATTACCTTAAATTACTACCTTAGAGTTTTGATGCTAATTAATCTGTTCGAGTTAACTTCTGTAATTAACAATTCATAATTTGTAAAGTCTAAAATCGAACGCAGGAAAGCAAAAACCACTGTTGTCAAGGACTGCATCCCAATCCACTCCGCTCCACCTTCAATAATCCTCCACTGTCCCTCAACCCGACCCCAAAACAAAAAAAAAAAAAGAAACGAAGAGAAAAATGGTCAAACCCCTAACCTTCAAAGGCGACAAGCCCAAAAAGCGCAAACACCGCGAATACGCCTCCACGGAATCGAAATTCGGCGCGGACACAAGCACAGGCACAGGCACAGGCACAGGCACAAGCACAAGCACAAGGACCCCCGCAGAGGAAACCCAGCACCTCGAAGACAGCGCCGAAGACCAGAGCTGGGTATCCGCCGACACGCCGTCGGATATCGCAGGCCCGGTGGTGCTCGTTCTGCCGTCCGACCCGCCGACGTGTATCGCGAGCGATGCGAACGGCAAGGTGTTTGCCAGCGAGCTGGAGAATCTGATTGAGGGGGATGCCGCGACGGCGGAGCCGCATGATGTGCGGCAGGTGTGGGTTGCGACGAGGGTGGCGGGGACGGAGTCGTTGAGTTTCAAGGGGCATCATGGGAAGTACGTCGGCCCTGTCTTAATAGCAAAGTGAGGGAATACTGATCACAGATGGCGACAGATACCTAAGCTGCGATACCTACGGTATCCTGAGCGCTTCCGCCTCGGCCATCTCGCATTACGAATCGTTCCTCGCGCTCCCCTCGACCGATATCCCGGGTACGTTTGCGCTGCAGACCGGCGGAGGCGACAAGGAGGCGTTTGTGTGTGTGCGGGAGGCCTCGTCGAGCAGCAAGGCGAGTGGGCGCGTGATCGAGGTGCGCGGCGACGCGAGCAGTCTCGGGTTTGAGACGACGCTGCGGATCCGCATGCAGGCGCGGTTCAAGCCGCGGATCAAAGCGAGCAAGGAGACCAAGGCGAGGGAGAAGATTAGTCGGAAGGAGTTGGAGGGGATTGTGGGGAGACGGCTGGAGGAGCATGAGGTGAAGAGGTTGAAGAGGGCGAGGAGGGAAGGGAATTTCCATGAGGAGGTGCTCGATGTGAGGGTTAAGGGAAAGCATGACAAGTTTGCTTGGTAGGTTTTTGCCTATTTTCTTTTTGAGTCTGGCTAATGCTGATGTTGATGTTGGTAGATTGGCGGGAGAATCTATGAAGATCGATTACCTGCGTCTGAAATTGAGACGCACTGAAACAGTTGCATTCGGGAATGCCCAGCGAAAGGGCCCTTTGAGCAGATGACGCGAGAATGCGTGCTACGGTTCTACGAGCGCGACATTTTTATCTGCTGGGGGGGACAGGCCTAGACTCATTCGAGATTGAGCGCGACGCGCCTCGATGTTCATACTACACTCGAATAATGTGGTGAAAGACTTTGTCGGGCCAAGCGACGCTTTGAAATAGTCTGGTTTGTCCATCTGTATGCATTATCATCTATATGATGAGCAAGAAGTAAAATGAACCTGAAGTATTATCATAAACCAAGGGTATCATCCCACCGCAACACCGTATAATATATCCCCAATCGAGTAGAATCCGGCGATCAATGCTCAGTCACGACATAATCCCGATGAACTACCGTATCGTCCGCAGGCGTCGAGTAGTATTCCGCCGGTAGAACGCTTTTCTTACACAGCGGGCAAAGACTGCTTATCTGTGTAAGCGAAACGTCGATGCAGCTCGGATGAAAGATATGGCCGCATGGAAGTTCCCGCACAATCGTTGTTCCCGAGACAAAGTCATCAAGACAGATTGCACAGGTGGGCTGTGACCTGCTGGAAGAGTCGCTGCACTCTCGCACGGAGGGAGGTCGACTGCGCTCACACGTAATTGCAGTTTCCGGTAGTCTGATGGTGGAGCTGCTTGCTTGCATATCTGTCTCCTTGTAGACTAGACGAGGCTCTTTGAGGTGGTCAACAGATCGTATCGAACTTGTATCATCGGCCCTTGACAGTGTGATCTGGGTTTGACTAGGGCTGCCTTTCAAAGACGCCTTTGAGGGAATGTTGACAGAGGGGTAGACGTATGTGGGAATTTGATCAAGAACCTCCCGCGAAACCCTGATTTGATGTAGCCCGAAATTTTCAATATCCGCTTCGCCGGAAGCGATGCGACGCTCGAGGGCTAGTCGGCGTCTCTTCTGCACAAATTGATAACATAGAAGGATGATGATACTGAGAACCAGTACCATTCCCAAAATTGCGAGGATGAATCCCCAGAGACTGGGCATGTTTCGATGATCCTCCGCTGCGGAAGAGACAGAGCAAAGTCAGCCAAACGGATCCCGCATAGCAGTATTCCTTGTGAACTATGGGTCGTCTTACCATAATCTATGAGAGCAAACAATCGAACAATATCATGCTGATCCTGCGCCAGGGCTGAAGACCCATTTAGATTGCTACCCGTATCAAATCCGACCAACGTCGCATTATCAGAGTACCACGACAGCTGGCGCATGAGTGTCTCCCCAGCAGGACCGGGGATCGCATAGACCGGATAGTTGTTTTGACTCTTCCATGCTCCAGCATCACCCAGATCCCAGAGAGAATCCTCCGGCGCGGGTGGCTTGGAATCGTTGGTTGAAGGTAGAAAGAAGATCAGCGCTTCCACGTCTTCTTGTTGCGACGCATTGAGAAATGACTTGGTACAATTGATGGATACCCACGGCGCTATGCCGATGTTGGGGAAGTTCAACGGAGCGACATGGCTATGACGAGTCGAATTGGACGGCACAAGCGATGCTGTGGCATTGTTGCATGGATCCTGAGGGTCAAGGCTAGGGACAAAGAGTAGTCCTCTTATTGGACCCTTGCCTGGTGCATTTTGAGTAGATAGCGTCTGGATTGTCCCGTCAAGCACTACACGGAGGTTATCGCTTTCCTGTTGGTAGCCGCAATGTAAGCGGGCAATCGATTTGCTGGCGTTGATTCATGATTGATCTGCACCACTGGTGAAACATACATTGATTGCTCGAGTTGCATTCGTTACTCTCCCAGATCCTTCAAAAAACATCGGAGCCGTGGCTAGCGATTGGGCGGCTATGATGGTCAGACATGGTCAGCCCAATTTCCAACAAGAAGCCGCTGTCTAAAGCGCATGGCTATACCAGAGGTATAGACGAATATTGCAAAGGAAAATAGGCACAGTGCGCAATCTGAAGGCGAGGATGAGGGATCATACACATGCTTGCGATATACCAACACCGCTGCCACTCAGTAAATGAATGGCGTTCAAGAATATGAAAGGTCAAGATCGAGTAGAAGACAACATTTCGCACAATTAATAGTATGCCAAGATGTTGTAATGCATATGCATAGCTTTTTCAATCAGGAAAATGCAAAAGCAAAATACAGAGATGTAAAGGGAGGAGGGAAAAGGTCAAAAGGTTGTTCTCGATAGTTGCAGGTGATAGATAAATAATACGTAGTGCCGAAATCGACGATCATCCCAATAAGATCTTCTTCTCAGGCACCGTACGAGGACAGGACCCATCCTATCCACCTTGTCATTTTGGCCTAATTTCTTTTTCCTTTTTCTTCTTCCCTGTTGTCAGCATGCAGATTCTCATTCAGCTCCTTGATCGACGATGGCAATGCCGTTTGCGGTTGGACTCTGATGACGTTTGCGGGGACTGGCCTTACATCGAGAAACCGATTCTGAACAAAATGGGAGGAATTCGAAGAGAGGAGTTCACAGTATGCCTGTCCCTGCAGATGGTACCGTCTGCCACGGTATCATCAGCAGAATCTTCAGTCATTCCCATCATCTGGTCTTATCCTAGGGAACCTGTCTGTGCTCCATCCCACGCTGATCGACAAGTGGAGCTCCTGCAAGGAAGGATACAGTACAGAGCACTTTGATAGATGATAGATCAGTCCACACATCTCCACATCAAGGCAAGACTCGAGTCCGTAGATAGTGCCCTATCACTCTCAGCACCAAGGAAGGATAATTCAGCCCATAAGGTGAATATCTGTACCCCTGAGATGTCATAAAACCGTGAATTGCTTAGCCTGTGACTCTTATCAAACCCAAAGCGGAAGGCCTGAAGTCTGTATCTTCACGTGATCAAAATCACGTGCATCCATCTCTATCAAGACTGCGATAACGATCAGCTCTTGTAAACATCCCACTAACACCACACACTCTCTCCTCAACCATTTTCTCTGCAAATCTTGCATCTAGTATGCTCTAGAGGGCAGATAGTCATCAAGTACCTATCAAGCTCTGGACCATTGGTCTTTGAGCAAGATAATACCACTTCAGTGACGAGTTGTGCCTCTGAATCCCTTGCCTCACGCCATCACTCCCGTCCTCTCAATTCCTCACCTAAATCCTTCCTCTCATAACATTCATCATTTGAAGATCACGTACTTTAACTGTCTCAAAATGCCAGGTGCCAACAAAGGCAAAGGCAAAGGCCGCGAACCCCGTCCCTCGCGAAGCCGCAACACCACCCCCAACTCAAGCTTCAGTGCTGGTGCAACCTCCGTGGGAGTTCAGGCCAGTTACCTCGATGTTGACGTCTCGAAACTGCTCATTCCTGGCACTATTCAGTATGGCGAAATCCTCGACCGTATGAGCGGGGTTGGCCCGATCCCTGATTCCAAGTCTCTCGAGTCGTTAATGGAACACCTCAAGACTCTCAGTCAGCTAGCAGAGGCTCGTGTTGATGCCTGCGATGCCGGTATTAGAGAGCTCTCGCAGAAGCGCAAAGAGGTTGTTGAAGACCAGGAAACATACGACCGCGAGTCTGCATCCAAGGTGAAGCGTGATGTCGACGATGAGGAAGAGGAACCTATCAGAGCCTCTAAAGGAGGGAAACTGAAGAAGCGTAGGGAGCGTGGAGGAAGCACAAAGGAGGAACGTCCGTTGGCACATGGTGCTCATGACATCGCCCGCCAGGACGGCGCCGAGACAAAGGTCGAAGGAGGTATGTTTTGTTATGCCTTTTTTTTATGTGAATTCACACGATGACACATCCCTGCCAATCTCTCTCACCTGAACTTTCCTTTTCATAACAACACAAACTCCTCCAACTTCTCCCCTTCCTTGTCTTTCCTTCTGCATCTCTCTCATCTTTCGTCCTGTCTTGGACTTTGGCTTCCAACATGGATCCAGCTAATGAACCAAAACTAGCCGCTTCCCCAGCCTCCAAGAAGTCGAAGAATATGGCTTCTGAAGTCACCTCTCCCACTTCTCCCTCGTCTCTGACTTCTCCCAAACACACTGCTACTGCTGGCGAAGCTTCCGCTACTGCCGAGTCTCCCTCCGAGGACGACAGCGATGAGCACCAGCCTGAACCCGCTCCGGCCATCCCTCAGGTTCAGGTGTTTGGTTCGAACCCGCTCAAATTCGATGATCCCACCATCTACCACATTCGTGAAGTCACTCCTGATATGACAGACGAGGAGAAGAAGGAGATTTATTGCGTCAACCGTTTCCCAAAGAGTGATCTGAGCCACATGATGGCTGGCGTTCCTCCAGACAAGGATTTCAGCAATGCCAAACCTACCAATCAAGTTAGCGCCAACACTTTCCTCTCTTACATCGAACCTTACGTGCGTCCCCTGACCGAGGAGGACATTGCGTTCTTGAAAGAAAAGGTTAGTTTCATTGGCATTCCGAAATGGCAGTTTCACGTAAGCTAACAATCTTCCAGGGTGATCGCACTACTCCTTTTATTATGCCTCCTCGCGGCAAGAAGCACTACACCGAGATTTGGGCCGAAGAGGATGGACTGATGAACGTCGATCAAGCCAACGGCGATGGCGAACGTTTTCCCCTGAACCAGGGACGCGGCAGCATCGATCAGGTCACTGATGAGACTGTTGAAACTGACAAGGTTTCCGTCGGACCCTTGGTCAGCCGCCTTTATTCCCTTCTTCGCTATGAACACCGTACAGATCCTGACGAAAACTCCGCAACTGGCGCTGCCAATGGAGAGGCCTCCACCAGTAACTTCTTTAACGGAGATTCCATGGATATCGATCAGCCAGCTGGTGAATCAGACAGCAAGCCACTTCCGTCCGCGACTTCTTTCCCCGATGCTTCTCCTAGCGGCTTCAAGGTCCCCGCAGCCAAGCTCGACCATGCTCAGCTTGACGAGCGTCTCAAAGCAGAGCTCCGCCACATTGGCTTTCTCGGCGAAGATGACAACCCTGACTACGATGCTCATTACGACGACGATATTGCACAGCGTTTGCGTCTGCTCCAGAGCGAACTCAAAAAGCAAATGATTACCAACAATGCCCGCAAGGCACGGCTCCTAGACATCGCTCGTGAACGCATGGCACACCAGGAATATACCACCATCCACGACGACCTTGACTCCCAGGTTCAGCAGGCTTATCTCAAGCGCACCCGCACTCTGGGTAAGAGCAAGAAAGGCTCCCAGGCTAAGCACCGGCCTGGTGGAGCCGGCGGTGGCAGCCACGTCGCCAGTGGTGCAGGTGTGAGCCGGCCTGCCATTGGCGACGTGGCTCGAACCCTCATGGACCGGCGCAAGCGCTGGGAGGAGTGCATCGGGCCCATCTTCAAGGACTCGAAGACTTCGGTCCCCGGCAAGGGCGAGACCATCTTCGATTCGGCCGTCATGGCCGAGTACGAGAAGGCCGAGCTCGAGGGCTGGGACGAGGAGCAGGAGTAGGTCTGCCGGCCGATTTTCCCAAATCGTGCCGGCAGACCCGCACTCCTGTGCTCGGTCCTTGCTTTGGTCCGTTGTTTCTTTCTTTTGTTTTCTTTTTCTTTTTATGTAGTACCACATACCCCTGTACAATGGCGGCGTTGGGAAGGGGGGCTTGGGAATGAGTACTGGGTTTCCTTTTTTTTTTCGCGCTTGATAGCGCTGGTTTACGATCTCCTGCGTCAAGGACGCAGCAACCCTCGCCAATGTCGGCGACTGCCAAGTGTCGCTGTCCCCTGTGGGGACTTGGCAACGCAGCGGCGGTTGTGACTTGGTTTGGGCTTTTTTGCTGGCGACCAGACGAATGACTAATGAAATTTGTTTCCCTGGTGGAATAATCTACATTTGCGTCTCCTCTCAAGCACTGTAGCGTTTAAATCATCGTAAATGGGTATCAATTATTCTCGTAGCATATATCACGTCATCGGTGTATAATCAAGACCTCCCCCGGATATCTCTTCAATGCCGCCGTTAGGTCCTTCTCACTAATCTCCAGCTCAGTACAAATCTGATCAAAGCAATGCATGCCGTCCAGATATTTCGACAGCATCTTGTTATCAACGAGCTCCTCCTCGTCCTCGTCATCAAAGACCACCGTGGAGCGACTCCCGCTATGAACGGAGGTTGCATGCTCCCTGCCGTCATCCCCACGCTGTCCGGAGTGATTATGATGATGCTGCTGCTGGGCAATCGGTGCCGCGTCATCGCCCACACTCGACGCATAGGGACTATTCGTCCCCGTGCCTGGTCCTCGGGACGAGGGTCCCGATGGCGGCTGCGAATGCGAGTGATGGTAGTGCTGGGAGGACTTCAGCTGCGGGGCGGGCTGGCCCGTCGCGTAGGCGTACTTGTGGACGCGGTATAGAAACCCTTTGATAATACCAAAGGTGATGAAGCGGCGGATGTCGATGTGGGCTAGCTTGCGGCTGTTCTGGGCGTACCATTGCCGCACGCTCTGTCCTTGCTTGAGGCTTGCGTAGAGCTCGACGATGCCCACGCCATCCACCATTTCCGGGGGAGGTGGGGGCTGTGTTGGGTCGTGGTCGTCTGCAAGGATGGTGGTTGTGGTCATGCCGGAGCGGTAGCTCGAGCTTGGACTGGGTGTTCGGCTTGTGCTTCGGCGGTCGCGGTAGTCGGCTACCGGGGGCCACACGGAGTCCGGGTCGTACTTGGACAGGCCGACGAGGTTCCCTGGGATGCCTGAAACGTGGGCGTTTGTGAGGCCGTGGGCCGCGGGCGAGAGGGCGGAGGTTGAGGCGGACGGTGCGGTGGCGGCACCGGTGCTCCCGTGGACGGCCATGGACGGTGCGAAGAGCGTGTTGACGTA